TCATCTATTGACGTAGGGGGGCCAATTGTTTTGAATTCAACGTTACATTCACATTCCCCCCCTTTTCCCCCCTGCCCCCAACTTAATTTTTTTAAATAGCAAGGTACCCCTTGTGACATATCAAATAAAAGAGCATAAAAAAAGAAAATGTTTGATGAAAAAAAAATTGAAAATCGGTTCACAAATTTGTGAGATATTCCCCCCTCACCCCCCGGAACTTAATTTTTTTTTCATAGCAAAGTACCCCTTGTGACATATCAAATGAAAGAGCATGAAAAAAGAAAATTTTTTGTGAAAAAAATTTAAAATCGGCTCATGAATTTGTGAGATAATCACCCCCCCTTTTCCCCTACCCATAACTTGTTTTATAATAGCAAGGTACCCGCCCATGTGACATATCAAATGAAAAATAAATTTCGCCAAAATTTTTCTTTTTTCATGCTCTTTCATTTCATATGTCACAAGGGGTACTTTGCTATTAAAAAAAAAATTAAGTTCCGGGGGGGGTGAGGGGGGAAATATCTCACAAATTTATGAACCGATTTTCAATTTTTTTTCATCAAAGATTTTATTTTTTCATGCTCTTTTATTTGATATGTCACAAGGGGTACCTTGCTATTTAAAAAAATTAAGTTGGGGGCAGGGGGGAAAGGGGGGGAATGTGAATGTAACGTTGAATTCAAAACAATTGGTCCCCCTACGTCAATAGATGATTCCCGCAAACTGCATATTTCTATCTATTGCGGTTTTTACATAAATAAAGATGCAAGTTTTAAAAAAAACACCCTGTATATATAATACGCTAAGCCGATTTTTGTAAACAGAACTCCTCCCTCATTTTTGGACCGATTTTGATGATTAAAGTGTCAAACAAATGGCCCTGATCTGTAGTTTTGCAAAGTGTTTTTAGTTTTTTGATATCTTTATTAGTTTGGGCAGGATCTTCCATAAAAGTTGGGTTTTCTCCCATAAGATTAACATGGGGGAATCTGAATATTTAATTGGAAACTTTGTCTCCACTCATTTGAGAGAACGACTGGGCGTAGAAACTTGGTAGAGGTGTCCAAAGAAAGGTCTTGGTCTGTAGATGAGTTATCAAAAGAAAAACGAAGTAAACTCGCTTAGGGCTCTGCTCCAGAAGCCTTTAAAGGTCCATCCACAGATTTGTTTTCGTTTTGGCCATGTGGATAATACTTTTTAATGAAACAGCTGTTAATTTTAAAATTATATTTTAAACAACACACATTTATTGGAAGTTAGAATTGTCCAAAAGAAGTATTTTTAATGTCATTTTCTGATTTTAAAATTGATTTTCTTCAGTATCATGTCATTTGCATTATTTGTTGCCAATGAAGCCGCACGACCATATAAATGAGGAGGCCCCTTACAGTTCAAGAATAAAATCCAACTTCACTTCAAGTATATTCCACTACACCTAACATTCTGTAGAGAGATTATATTGACAAATTTATGTAATTGATAGGGCTGAGACAACTAACTGACGTAGCTAATGCATTTTATGTTAATTTTGCTGAATAAACGACTTATGACTTATGACTTAACTGACATCCCCCATGTCAAGGAATTCCAGCTTTAACAGTAACCCCACAACAAATTTCTCAAAACATTGCTAGAGGGTTATTCATTGGCACAGAAGTATGATATGAAATGAAGTGACCACGTGACGAAGGAAAACTCAAACTTACACTGTAACGGATATACCTCCGTTTGAAGTTATAACGTGTCTTCCCAACAAACTGATATTTTAGTCAAATAAAATCTCAGATTAATCTGCACTGATGGAATCACGGAAGTGTTTAACTTCAAAAGATCCACCAATACGATTTGAATACTGTTTAATGGTTCTTCCAAAGGAAGAGATACCAGATAACATACCAATATAATAACTCCGATGACGTACAGTATGGGGAATATTTTATTCATTGAATGATCAACCATATTTTGGTAACTTAGGCAATTGATATCATTATTGTTTTTACACTTATTAATCTTTAAACAATGCTAAATGCTCAAAATATGTATAATTTCACTCAATTTATCGCAGCAGATGAATAATTAGCTTACGCCTTGAAAGTAACCGTCGATTTCGACGGGTTTCACCTAGTAATAAATATCATCTGGTCTAGTTCCACACACATCAAATTCCATGTTAACTTGAATTCTATTCTCAATAGTGAATCTGTTAAATATATACTTAAACAATTGATTAAAAACATGGTTTATGGTTTCCTCAGTCAAAGTGGCAGAATCTCATGGGCCTACAAATCATATGAATGACATCACACACATTTGCCTCGATACCATCCAATACGTAGGTAGTCATTTCATTTGCACATTGTTGTATAGGGAAGTTTTGGTATGTTAAAGGGTGGTTAAAAATTACTAATATTTGATATTTTTACTTGAAATTTGTGATAAAAATTAACAGTTATTTGCGAAATATTTCATTCATCTGTGATATTATACAAGTGAAGTGCGGTAACAAAATGTTTATTATAGCCATTCACTCTCGGGACTCGGCACGCTGATCTGCATTGCCGACTTATCGATTACTAGCGTTCCTGGTGCCAGTCCAGTAGACTAGATTTACACAATGGGGTTGTTGAAGTACGTTGCGTCCAGTTGCGTCTCCCGAGCGCCGAGGGCAAATGAGTATCCCCAGCGCCGAGGCCATAAATTACCAAAGGTTCTGCTCAGTGATTCAGAAGTGACGAGGGTTAATACCTTCTATTTTAAAATTGTATCAATGAGTTTAAACCGTGAAGCAGTAAAAGTTAGGTTAAGTTAGGTTAGGTCATTCTAGATTAAGTACGAGAGTCGGTAGGCCTAAGCTGAATCAAAAATATTCATTAAACTTTAATTTAGAATTCGAAACGTATCATGTCTGCAATGAAATGTATGTAAAATTAACCAATTAACGTCATTCCAGTGCTGATTGTCTACAATGCTCAATTGGGCACACGCCTTTACCGCAGTTCGTTGCTTTTGTGAATTCCAATTCGGCTATTAAAACTGTCAGATTATGCCAGATAGCCTGCTCGGCGCTGGGGAGACGCGGCGGCGCTCGGGAGACTCGGCGCTCGGGAGACGGCATCCTTGAAGTAGTCAGAGTATTGTAATAGTCTTACTGGTCTTTCGTACCGACATTATGTTGCCTAGATGGGTTCTTATACATTTTTCATTTTTGTTTAAAAAAATAAACATGTAGTATGACATAAAATAAAATGGTAGGTTTTGAGTCTTTTTTAAATAAAAATTATAGACAATGGCTTCATATTCTGTGATGTAGACCTGGATTGAACAAAAAAAGGTACAAACAATTCTGCGTAATAGCCTACTTTACGAATTCTTATTTGAAATTATCCTTATATATACGTAAAGGCGATTTCGACGAAACAAAACTCCTTCGTTAATAATGGATAGATTTTTACAAACGAGGTGTGATTTATTATATTTTCTTTGAGTTGACTTTTTTAAGTCCTCAGAAATTATGAATGTTATTCGTTTTGAAATAACGCCTGTAATACTTTGCAATTGTTCGAGTCTGAGCAACAGGTGCACTAGCAATGTATAATGTTTGTTTGTAAAGCTAGGCGCCCACCGGGCAACTCAGCGGGTGACGCGGCGCGGCGCGGCACGGCGCGACGCGGAGAAAAACTTCCGTCCGCTTCTCCAGGGTTCGCGCCCACCAAGCAACTCTGGCGGAAGCGCGGGGCAGCGCTGAGAATTATTCTTTTGGAGGGGATGCACAGTGCACTTCGATTCGGACCCGAACACTCCCGAAGGGCTCACGATACTTTCCGAAAACACCCGAATGAGCGGCAGACGAGGGGCAGACGCCGTTTCCGTTCCTCTACCCCGCGCCCACCAGGCAACTCAACGGAGGCGCCGCAACACGAGAGGAAGAAATTCTCCACCGAATTCTCACTGCCGGATTCGAGAAGAAGTTTTTTTTCCGCGCCGCGTTGCGCCACCCGCTGGGTTGCTAGGTGGGCGTCAGTCCATAAGATAACATGGCACGGATACGTGGCAACTTTTTTCCACGGCGTCGCGCCGCGCCGCGCCGCGCCGCGTCACCCGCTGAGTTGCCCGGTGGGCGCCTAGCTTTAGTTTCGCCATCTGAATCCCATTATCAAAATGAAGCTGTTCAAGTACTGCTAATTTTCCATGCAAATACGAGGCAATTCAAAAAGGAAATGTTTACCCCAAAGCTAAAGGGGATTGAACATATCTTTGGTTAATTTATGCCTTTGTATCCCTGATCAAAAATTAACTGGTTTAAATACCAACTGATCCAAATGATCCAATTAATCTGACAAATGATCCAAATTCCTCGACAGATTGAACCAGTTTAACATATATGTATTGGAACAATAAATTGTAGAAAAGACTTGTTTGTTTTTCGAGTTCAAGATCCGATGACAATCTGCATTATATAGTAACGTTACAAAGCGATAAAAATGTTCGATTAGGAACATATGTGATGCTTTTTTAAACATGACAGGCCTGAGTAATAAATGTTTTTCTATGATAATAAATACCATGAGTAACTCTCTTGCAAATAGTCTAGTCAAGTTTCCCCCTGACATATAATGTAATAATTACTGTACGATCTTCTTGAGCAAAACTTCTTCTTGATCATCGAATGACGGATCATTGTCACTCCACCTCCGGTTTATTGACCTACGACGCTGGAGTGTCGCGCAGCCGCGTACCGCGTACCTCGTCTCTATGGCAACCAGGCAACGGCGACGAACATAACCAAAACCTGCAGGTTAACACCGGCATTCTTTATCTAGGTTAATCATGACAGAAAGTCACAGAGAAATGATTATCTTATCTTCCGATGACCAAGGTTATCTCCGCGTGTGCGTGTGACTCATGTAGCATAGATAAGATTCTATTGATCGTAGCGTCGCGTGTCGTGGGAAGGGGGGGGGGGCGGCGTTCGCTGGTCGATAGCAGACTGTGTTGTAGAGAGTGAAGTGAGTGTAGGGCGCGCAAAGTCTTCACTGCGGCAGTCACTGATAAAGGTTACCGAAATGTCAGGTGGGTCTCGTTCATCATGTTTTGCCCTAGTTTATATCGAGGGAGGAGCTTATTTCCCAGCTATTTATCGAACTCATTGGGTGTAGATCTGATATAGTTCATACATTGATTTGGGAATCCGGAATAGTAAATCCTGTTGTAGCGATCGCATATGCCTACTGTTAATATTTATCTCGAACTCGCAGGGTTGTAGTTGTGATCAGTAAGATATTATTGTCAGTAGATTATTATAATCTCGTATATTGATAAAGAAATATGATATGGAAATAGTTAATCCTGTAAATATTACCGTTCATTGTTCATTGCCCTCGAACTTGCAGGGTTGTAGTTTTTGTAATCAGTAAGATGTTACTGACAGTAGTAGATTATTATAATCTCGTATATTGATAACGAAATATGAAGAATAAATAAGATATAAAGAAATCCTGTAAATATTACCGTTCATACATTGATTTTGAGATTGCAGTTGAAATCAGTAAGATATTATTGAGATTAGATGATAAGAGTGCATAAATTGATATGGGAATTGTAAATCCTGCAGGGCCGTTCATACATTGATTTGAGATTTGTAAATACTGTAGGGATCGCGATCAAATCGAATCTGTAGGATTGTCAATTTAGTTAGACATATACTATACTAGCTGTTTTACCCGTGCTTTGCAACGGCAAGAGGACACAAAATATAAACATTTTGATCTTTACATTACATTTGTTGTATAAAATAGTTACACATCCACCAACGCTTTTAGAAACAAAATTCGGTTGCACTTTTAGTATCCGTCCTACACTCATTCGAATGAAAAATATCGATGTAGGCTATAGATTATTCAGTATATTCATTCGAATGAGTATATAACGTATAACAGATACTAAAGTGCAGCCCAAAATTCAACCTTTGTCAATAGTCTTTTGAAATATTAAAGACACTATATTTACACTATATAAAGTTGTAGATTATTAGTTTAGGATTAAAGACGGCAGACAAAACTAATATGATTATCATAACATCAAGGACTAAAAAATCTGATAGTAAGGCCCCGGCCACACGAGGCGAATTTAAGCCTCGTCCTCTACGTCGTCAGGGGTACGTGTTGGTACAGATAAATTTATCGATTATAACATTGGTAAGAATAATGTGGTGAAATCAGGATAAAATGAAAGAATAATAAATTATTGCATGTTGTTAGCTTCTGAATCACTTTTAGTAAATATAATGAAAAAATATAATGAGTGGTTTAAAATGGCATGTTACAGAATAATCAATTGATTATAAAACTAAGAGGACACGTATTTATTAAATTTAAATGACATTAGAATCCAAGGGGATCAATTAAAAACATGTTGCCTGTCTGGTTTCGTAGGGCTATTTCTGGGTTACATCACATTAGACCGAGTAAAATACTGTTTGTAAACAAAGAAACAAATATCTGTCAACCATGACCCCACGAGGCCGCGATCCAAACAAATCACACTCCTCTAAAAGCTATAATCCTGTGTGGTGTGGTGGTATACGTAGTTTGGAATTTGGTTTCATGCCACCTACCATTGGTTCAAATTACATTAGCATTAGAACTTCTCGGAAGGCAACTGAAAGAAAACGCGACAATCGGGACGTGAAGTCATAATTGCTTACCTCGGGTGACAGTGATGTCACGCACACTGTGCATGACAGCACAGTGTGTCCGGGTACAGCATACTGTGTTGGGGTACAGCATACTGTGTTGGGGTACAGCATACTGTGTTGGAGTACAGCATACTGTGTTGGGGTACAGCATACTGTGTTGGGGTACAGCACACTGTGTTGGAGTATTGCATACTATGTTGGGGTACAGCATACTGTGTTGGGGTACAACATACTGTGTTGGGGTACAACATACTGTGTTGGGGTACAGCATACTGTGTTGGGGTACAACAAACTGTGTTGGGGTACAGCATACTGTGTTGGGGTACAGCATACTGTGTTGGGGTACAGCATATTGTGTTGGGGTACAGCATACTGTGTTGGGGTACAGCATACTGTGTTGGGGTACAGCATATTGTGTTGGGGTACAGCATACTGTGTTGGGGTACAACAAACTGTGTTGGGGTACAGCATACTGTGTTGGGGTACAGCATACTGTGTTGGGGTACAGCATACTGTGTTGGGGTACAGCATACTGTGTTGGGGTACAACAAACTGTGTTGGGGTACAGCAAACTGTGTTGGGGTACAGCACACTGTGTTGGAGTATAGCATACTGTGTTGGGGGTACAACAAACTGTGTTGGGGTACAGCATACTGTGTTGGGGTACAACAAACTGTGTTGGGGTACAGCATACTGTGTTGGGGTACAGCATACTGTGTTGGGGTACAGCATACTGTGTTGGGTACAACAAACTGTGTTGGGGTACAGCATACTGTGTTGGGGTACAGCATACTGTGTTGGGGTACATCATACTGTGTTGGGGTACAGCATACTGTGTTGGGGTACAACAAACTGTGTTGGGGTACAGCATACTGTGTTGGGGTACAGCTTACTGTGTGCTGTATGGATGGATGTATGTTTGTGACAAGTAAACGGGAAAAATACTGGTCGGATTGGGCTGAAATTTGGTATGATGATAGCTCACATTCCCGATTAACATATAGACGCATTCTTATCTTAAAAGTCCTTTCGGGCTCCGCCCCAGTGGCTCTGGAGTTTCCCATGATAACCTTATGAGTAATCGTATTTAAAAGGAATAAACGAATTTTGTCAGCTGTTTCAACTACACAAGTTGGTTCTATGATATTGAATAGCAGTTTACCAACAGGGTGCAGTACTATTATTTTTTTACATTTATGACAACAGCTATCCTATTAAGGCCTTAAAGGTAAAATTTTGTTTTTAAAAGGCTTATGTGTAACGATTTTATCAACAGATGTAAAGATCAAAATGTTTCTATTTCGTGTTCTCTTCCCGTTGCAAAGCACGGGTACAACAGCTAGTATACACATAAATGTGACATTATCTTTAAAAAGGCGTACTTTAAAGTTATTGTAATTTCATATTGATCGCCAATTCCCCATTGTGTAGTAACACGGACAAAATGAGTACTAAAGGTATTTCCTTTGTATTATATCTGTGGTAGTATAACCTAAGTCTAAAATAATTCTTTAAAGTTTAAAGTACCTGTATAGAAGTACATTTTCTAAAGTGCAAAATATAACTGAATTTAGTAAAGTGTTTTCTCATTGACATTTAGGCACTTCCAAGACCAAGATTTCAGCTCTTTAACTCCCGAAGAATAATGAGCCCAAGGAAATAATAAATAGTATTTAGTACAGGGACATTATGGATAGATTAACACAACTTAGCCAACAGAATGTAGAAACACAACAGAACCAGTGTTGCCAACTGTTGAGATGAGTGCAGTTGGCAAGACTGACATTTCCGCTTCCTTTTCAATCAATGCACAATCGGTCTAGGGTGATTAACTACCTTCATTGTTGATTCTGTATTAAAAATTTAACCGAAAACAATTATTTTAATTACGGTAGTAGAAATAACAATTAACTACTAAATATCTACTATTTCAACGGGAGGTTTGTTTGTATACAAATCATTTTAAAGATAAAACGACACACTAAAACACGTCAACTCCGCATCGCATGCATGGTACTTTAACTGCACTTTTAGGAAAAATGTCCCAGACCAAACATAGTAAAATATAATTAATATTACTATCCTATAGTGAATAACTATTATTACTGCGTGATATTATTTTAACTCATCCACTATAATCATAGATAAAAGGAGTATAGACTCCTTTTATCTATGCTATAATACATAGTACGAGTAATACGAAACAGGGTTCAACGGAGCAGACATTTTTAAAAACCACTCGGTGGATTTGACTAATAAAGTCTAAAAAGGTTTTCCGGTTTTCCTAAATTATTAATAAACTAAATGATTTTCAATTGACTTTTTCAGCCAATTTGATCGCATTAAATCTACATTACCGTAAGTTGTATTATCTCGTTGCTTTGTCAATTGCTAATCTCAATTACAGATTCTACATTTGTTATCTAGTACTGTACTGAGTAATGGTGGCAAACGCATAGCTTGTTGATAAACGTTAAGACTGCTTATGATCTTACCAAACATAAACAGTATAAAGTATAAAGGGGCAATATAGTATAAACTGCATATTATAGAAATTGAACATTAGTGTCACTAGAATGCTGATGCTGACGACTATAAGTTTGATTTGTTTCATTGATCGATCTTGATTATCATTATTCAATGGCCTAATACGTTTTCTAACTGTTAAAAATAGTATTGAAGTATAGCTAATATATATACTAAAATGTACAGTATATAATTGCTCTACTGGATCGCTTGTCACAAAAACTTAGACGTCTAGAAAAAATTGTTCAAAAAACGTCTCAATAACTCAAAGCTGATTACAGCATCATCAAGAGGGAATAGACCACGATGTGCTAAGGGTTTTAAGGGGCTTCTCAATAACTCAAAGCTGATTACAGCATCATCAAGAGGGAATAGACCACGATGTGCTAAGGGTTTTAAGGGGCTTCTCAATAACTCAAAGCTGATTACAGCATCATCAAGAGGGAATAGACCACGATGTGCTAAGGGTTTTAAGAAACTTCTCAATAACTCAAAGCTGATTATAGCATCATCAAGAGGGAATAGACCACGATGTGCTAAGGATTTTAAGGGGCTTCTCAATAACTCAAAGCTGATTACAGCATCATCAAGAGGGAATAGACCACGATGTGCTAAGGGTTTTAAGGGGCTTCTCAATTATTATACAGTATTGTTAAATCATTATAATTTTTGATGGAGACGCCATCTATGTACGTATTTTAACCCAGATATGAGTGAAGGATGAGCGAAGGATGAGTGTAGATTGGAGTGTGATACCACAGATAAAACATACTCCCGTGATAAAGATCAGTTTTTTTATTAGTCAGTAGTAGTCAGTGCCATTTTTATTAAAAACCCAATGATCAAGGAC